GATGGATGGATGGATGGATGGATTGTATTAAGAGCTGTATGAGTCCCTGATAAAATGATTGGGGAAAAACAAGATTGACAGCCTCAGAAACCCACAGGGATAGCTCTAGTCTACTCTACAGGCTCGCTGTGAGTCAGAATCGACTGGGTGGCAGTAGTATTAGCTTTGCTATGATGCTGGCTTGATGGAGTGGGTTGGGACCAAAAATAACCCAAAGTCATTGACATCGAGTCAATGCCAACTCATAGTGACCCTGTAGCTAGCTGCTCCTGTGATTTTCCGAAACTCGAACTCTTTTTGGGAGTAGAAAGCCCCATCTTTCTCCCGGAGCAGCAGATGGTTTTGAACTGCTGACCCTGCAGCTAGCACCATATGTAACCACCACACCACCAGGGCTCAGCTCCCAGGATTTCTCAGAGGCCCATCATAAACACTCCTTAAAGGATGGATTCATTACGATAGCATCATCCATCGAGCGGCGGATGGGTTTGAACCACCGACCTTGGGGTTAACAGCCCAACCCTGGATCCCTTGCCTGTTCCTGGGCTGCAGCCACAGCGGGAGGCCGCTCGAGGCTGCCCCTAGTGGTCGTGGGCGGTATCTCAGCTGCGCGCTCCGCGCTGGCTCAGGTGCGCGGACACAGCCGCTCTGCAAGGTGCGCGGACACAGGCGCTCTGCAAGGTGCGCGGGAGGACGCCTGTTCGCGCTGAAGGGAGGCCGGTTATTTTGTGCACTGAGCCCAGCGCCTGGGGCGCAGGGCATCCAGCTTGGGGATCCCTTTGTGTGTAGGCCTTACTCCCTCCTTCTGTGTCTCTAGTTTGCAGCGTGGGCCCTGCGCTCGTGTTTCCAAACGTCTCCACCGAGAACGCAGTCTTCCTCCTCCCTGGCTTCCGAACGGGCCTGCGGGCCCTATCCGTCTGCAGCTGGGTCCGCACTGCCCACGGTCGCCTGGGCACCCTGCTCTCCTACGCCACCGAGGAGAATGACAACAAATTGGTGCTTCACGGCCGGGACTCGCTGGCCCCCGGCTCTGTCCACTTTGTGATCGGAGACCCCGCCTTCCGGGAGCTGCCGCTGCAGACGCTGCTGGACGGCCAGTGGCACCACCTGTGTGTGATCTGGACAGCCGCTCAGGGCCGCCATTGGCTCTACGTGGACCGCAGGCTGGTGGCCACTGGCTCCCGCTTCAGGGAGGGCTATGAGATCCCGCCTGGAGGGTCCCTGGTGCTGGGTCAGGAGCAAGATATTGTCGGGGGTGGGTTTGACAGCGCGGAGGCCTTTGTGGGGAGCCTGGCTGGTCTGGCCATCTGGGGCAGGGTGCTAGCCCCCGGGGAGGTCTCAAGCCTGGCCACCGGGAGGGCGGTCCCCCCAGGTCCCCTCTTGACGCTGGCCAATGCCACCTCTGTAGGCGGATTTGTTCAGAGAGTGAACTGCACCTGCCTGCAGTCATGTCCCTGAGGCCACGTGGTCACCTATTCACCTATGGCAGGAGCCGTCCTCTGCCTCGCCCTGCTACTACCCCTGTCCCCTGCGCTTTCTGCAAAGAGCACCCCATCCTGGCCATGCGCACCTGCTCTGCAGAGTAGATTGGCCAGTTTGGAGAACTCCAGAAGCTGCTTGGCCTACACTAGCTGGATGGGAAAATACCGCTTTGGGGGACTGTTGTCCCAACATCTCTCCAAACCTCCAGTCACCCTTTTCCAGGAGCCTGGGGATTCCCTCGGGATCAGCCCTGTGTCCCTGAGCTGGCCATCTGAGGCCACCAACATCCCTGGAATAAAGAACACCTTGCCTCGGGTCAACAGGGCAGCCTGGGGCTTTTGACCAAAGAGCCACCTACTTATAATCAAAATGAAGAGAGGAGGGGCACATCCCTCCGAACATCATGATTGAGGATAATTTAC